AAAATTTTAATGGGTGTTATTAATTAACTTTAAGAATTATGAGGGGTCGGATACTTATAACCACTACTGTAAAAGAGTTGACAAAATTATTAAAACTCACTAATAATTCTTCAGTTTGTTTAGGAATGTGAGTTATTAACAGTACTTGATACAAAATGCGGAGATTCACCAAGTAGATTAGTAATAAGAGCATGAGAATGTTCGAATGAAAACGGTCATCCCAAAATTATAACGTGTCGAATTCAGATTTTATAAATTATTTTAAACCTGGATTACGTATTTTATCTGATGTACTCCAGATTTAAAGTGTTATCGCTTTCGTCTTGTATGACATTTTGATTTTTGCAGTACCGAGATTTATGTTTTTGATTATTGTTTACGGCAACTTCAGTATAAAGAAATTTTTAAAGGAAAATACCTTGTAAAACTCTCTCGAATAAGATGCATGTGAAAATCACTATTTAAGGTAATTCATCACGTAGATGACAGGTATTTATTCCCTGGATTTTGACGAATGTATATATATTTATGTATCTAGTTTTTTTTTTTTTTTCATTTTCTAAATGATAAGAACTCTTTTTCAAAGACGTGCAACTGACCTTACTAACAAAAGAAGTTTATTTTCTATAAAGAACTTTATCATAACAGGGATATTTGGAGGAATTGGATACACTATATACAAAAGATACTCGGATGATTCAAAGAAAACTTTTTCACCAAATAGATTCATTCCATTAACAGTTAGTGAAATAACGCCAGTAAATCATAATACACGTATATTTCGTTTAAAATTTCCAAGAGCGTTAAAAGAACCAATACCAGTTGCATCTTGTGTCCAAGTTAAAGATGATTCTACACAAATAATGAGGGAATATACACCAATTAGTCCTATCAATGAATTGAATTTTATTGATTTATTAGTAAAACGATATGATAATGGGCATATGTCTAGATTAATTCATAATTTAAAAATTGGTGATAAATTTGAAGTCAGAGGACCCGTTGTTACTTTACCGTATACACCTAATATGAAGAAACATATTGGAATGGTTTGAAAAAAAAATATTATTTTATGGATCTTTTTCTATTATTTTAATATAAATATTAATTTTAATTTTAATTTTTTTTTTGTAGATTTGCGGTGGAACAGGAATAACTCCAATGTAAATATTTTGAATCTCTTAATTATTATTATTTCTTACTTTTTAGATAACATTTTTCTTATTCCTAGGTATCAGTTAATCAATTATATACTTCAAAATCCAGAAGACAAAACAAAAATATATTTAATTTACGCGAATATAACAAAAGATGATATACTCCTTTATAATGACTTCAAAGAATTATCCAAAAATCATCCAAACCAATTAAAAATTTACTATACACTCGATAAGCCACCAAAAGATAATTGGACTCAAGGTGTTGGTTATGTAAGTGAAGAAATGGTAAAAGAGAATATTCCTGCTCCAAATGAGGATGTTCTCGTATTAGTTTGTGGTCCAAGCAGGTACGAAAATATATATATATATATATATATATTTTTATTTAATTAAGTTACATAAATAAATATCTTATATTATTTATAGGATGATGCGTAAGATTAGTGGTGGAAAGGCATCTGATATGTCTCAAGGACTTGTTAGGGGCATATTGAAAAAACTCGGATATACACAAGATCAAGTCTTTAAATTTTAAAATAGATGACAATCTTATACTTTCAGCAAAGGAAATAGATCCTTTAGAATTTTTTTTTTTTAGCGTAATCTTCCCGAAATCAACTATTTATGTTATAGTTGATTTTTCTACATTGTTGTGATGAATCTAACAAATCGGGAAAATAAATTAGCCTGATATATTGCACAATAAAACTTTGACAAATATTTATTAATATTATTTAAATGGTTTACTGAATTAAACAAATCAGATACCATACTATACTTAATCATTTAATCATTGAAAATTAATTGTGCAAATTGCATATGAATTTTCACGCTTTATATGTTAGAAAAGAAACCCCCCCTTAATAAGTTTAATCGATTTTTATTTAAAATTAAATTAATGTATATATATTTATTTATTTACCTAAATATTCTTTCTTTAGCTGGTTGTTTCTTTTACAGCTATGATAAAATCATTTTGATATTTAGGGGGTGAGTGCTGGAAAAAGGGATCAAAATTGTAAAAAAAAAAAAAAAAAAAATTGTCTTTTTTTAAAGTTATATCCAATGCCATTTTTTCAATTTGGTCCCTTTTCTCGGCACTCACCCCATTTATGAAAGGGAATTGACAGTTATTGATTCCTGCTTTATTTTTGTGGTTAAAAAACGACATCAACCCAAAAGTTCGGATTAAAGACTATTTTAGTCGGGATGATGTTCCATATTTTAAAATAATATATTACACGTTCCCTTTCAAAGAGTGATGTATCACGTGAATACATACAATCAATTAAATAAAATTAGTAAGCTCGTACGTGGGAAAATCCCAATATTAATGATATCATTGTTTGGCATCATGTGAAGTTTTAACATCACACCCTGATTGTAATTATTTTGATAACAATAAAATGAATCTATAATTGGAAAAAATTTTTTTTGATAACTTACATAATGCATTGAAAAAAAAAAAAAAAAAAAAAACTAGAATTGTGACAGGTTTGGCTGATGAGAAGGAGGAATTGTGGGGTATTTGTAAGATCCAAAAGGATGATGGCTGAATGTATTGTTGTAATTTATGTAATTCTTTTCTGAATATGGTTACATATGGGGTTCATGTATGTGTGATGTGAAAATGAAATAGAATGGCGTACCTAAAAATATATTCGTACTTTACCGAAGACAATATAAAAAATGTATTTATTGAATAAACAATATTATGTATTTTAAAAACCATGTGGTTTTCTTGATTAATTTGAGGTGTCAAAAAAAAAAAAGGTGACGCATTTATATATATAATCGAATCATTTCCATTATCTTTCTGATTTGGTTAAGAAAGAATAAATTTTTAATTAAAAATAAAATAGAGTTTTATATCATAAAATCTCCATGCATAAACGATTTAATTTGTTCACTCGAAATGAAAAAAAAAAAAATTGGATGCATTTGTACATGGAAAGAAAACACGCATGGGTTGGTTCTTTTTGTGCCGTTTCAAAATTTCGTAATTTAACTCGAGAACATTATTATCACAAGATTTAAATGCTTGTAGGATAAATTATATGTATGCGTGTAATCAAAAAATAAATATCAAAAAGTCCCCATAATAGATATGAAAATGGAGGGAAATATGTTGATTGGATAAAGTTATTGTCCAAAAAAGGAAATAACAAGGAAGTTATTTCCAAATTTGGCATTCTGCAATATCAATCATGTTAAATTCACTAAGAACACCTAATTTTTTTCTTACACGATCTTCCACAATTGTGTTCAAATGTTTAATTAACCTCATTAAGCTCAACATTAAACAAATTAAAATCTGAGTCATAATGTTCGACATGTGTAAATTGATCATAATAATGTTTTAAAATTGATTTACATTACATGTTTAACAAAAAGGTAAATCTGTACATTAATGAATATTAAATATGTTGTGTCAATTAAAATATTGATTTATTTTATTTTAGGGTTAAAAAAAAAAAAAAAATATGATCTTTATATGTCGTGTTTTATGAACATCAACTTATATTCAAGTTACTAAAAAGAAGAAATTAGAAGCACAATTTGTATATCTTAATTGACTCATCTTTACGTAACGACGCGCTATGATCCCTAATTTCCTTTTATCAAAAGGTCAATTCTTCAAAGTTACCTTGTTTTGGTAATTTTTACGAACATAATCAAACGTTACACCCTGCGGACGGAAAGCTGCCCGTTTGGTTCGAACGAGATAAAATCAAGTGCTTTTCGTTCACCACATCCTATCAAAGCACATAATTCACTGTCCGGATTGGAATGAAAAAAGCATACCACCAAAATAATCGCGCCGCGTAAAGGTCTATCCGTCCTTTATCGATTGCCACATTTTTTTTTTTTCTTTAAAAAACATTTGTAATGTTTAGGTTTAAATTGTAATCATGTGGTGAATGCCAAAAGTATCACAAATATTGTGAACAAGAAGCCAAACACAATCTAAAAACTTCGGAATTTGTTACTAGTTTAAAAAAAAAATAAATTATCTATTTTGACCTTTTTTCATGTAATGTGTGTGATGTTGTGCATATCAAAAAAGAGTTAATTTATTAAAGTGTGACCACCTTTTTTTTAAAAAAAAGAAAAGTCGTATGACCCTACTGACCTTTTAACCCCTTTATTTAGTTGGCATCTCCTGTTAATAACCACAATTTTTTTAATTTTTCCACAACATCACACCCCCATTCTCTGTTCTGCTCAGCCAAAAAATATAATAAAAACTCAGCCAAACTTTTTTTTTTTCTTGCCAAAAAAGTAGGCATTAATTTTCTTATTTTTTAACTATATACTTTTAATATAATTACTTTTTTTTTTAAAAAAAAAATAATTTTCTTTTTCTCTTTCGTAATAAAGAAATAATAAAAAGGAAGGAAAAAAAAAAAAAAAAAAACCTAGTAATAATAATAATAATAATAATAATAATAATAAAGGAAAGAATTATACCAATTTTTTATTAAAAAAAAAAAAAAAAAAATATCTTGTCGAGAATTATCGTTCGATAATGACCGAAATAACTCCTGCACCCAAAGAAGAGCCCACTCCAATTGAGCTCGAAAAGAAATCTGATGCAAAGGTAGAGACGAAGTCTGAGGAGGTAACTCCAGCTCGGTCTGAAGGTGAAGTAATTGCTGAGCCTGAAACCGAAGAAAAGAAAGAAGAGGACCCTCCGACTATAAATGAAGGATACTTACATAAACGAACTCCCAAAAAATTTATGAAAATATAGAGTAAATCTTATTTCGTTGTTGGAACTGATCATATTGATTTGGAAAACCTTCGTCTTTATCACAAGAAAAACGTAAAAAAGAGTCTTGCACCGACGACAACAAAAGTTCCTGGCATGGTAAATGCAACTTCTACTACTACTACACCTGCAATTACTGAAAACCCTCCAGCTACCTCAGAAACGGCTCCCGCTGAACCCGAGGTCGTTGAAAAAGTTATTCCCAAACCCGAAGAACCCGCTGTGGAAACCATTGAACCTACCAAAGCTGAAGAGCCTGTCGTAGAAGCCACTGAGCCTCCAAAGGCTGAAGAATCGGTTGTGGAAACTGCTGAAGCTCCTAATACAGAAGAAGTTCCTGTTGTTGAAACTACTGACCTTCCCGTTGTTGAAACTACTGAACTTCCCAAACCTGAAGAAAAGGTCGAAGCTGTTTCAACTGATGCTGAAAAGGTTAATGAAACAAAAGAACCTGAAGACAAAAAACCAGAAACCAAGGAGCAAACTGTCGTGGAAGAGGAAGCCAAACAAGCTGAAACCAATGTATCATCAAACTTTTACTATAAGAACATTGCCCATGCTACAAAAACTGGTAATGGGTTATTATTCTACTATAAATCAGATAGTGATGCCCGTAATAAGAAACCACTTGGTATAATTAACTTGAAACAAGTCGATGGTGTCGATAAGGTTAAAAATCTTGAAGGCGCCGGAAGACAATTTGCCTTCACAATTGAAACAAATTATCGTCTTTTCGAACTTTCTGCTGAATCAGAAGCTGAACGAAATCGTTGGATAAGAACAATCAAGGAAAAAATTGAAGAAGTGGACAAAATCGATGTTGAAAGTTCTGATGAATATAAAGCTACTTACGATAAGCTTGGTAAGTTTATTTTATTTACTACATTCAATAATATGCTTATATGTCAACCAAATCTTAATCTCGTATAGAGAGATATTTTCTTTTAAAGCGTGAAATTTGTTATTAACTTATGACAATTTTAATTTTATTTTTATTTTGAATTTAACAGAAAAAGGAACCGCATTTGTTCCTCAAAAGTTTGACAATATTACGTCGGATACCGAAATGTTTTCCGGTGATGAAGATATTGAAACTCCAAAACGTGATATCAATAATGTTGATGTCAATAAACGTAGATCTGTTTTTAGCAACTTGTTCTTTGGTAAAAAGCCTTCGACAACCGATACTTCTACCTTAGTAACCACATCTGAAACTATTAATGAAGATGGTACTAAGGAAGTTATCAATGAAACTACCGAGATTATAACTTCTGAAGAAGTTTTAAAAACCGAAGAGATTAAAACCGAAGAAGTTCCTCCTAAATCTCCTCATAAACCTAGTAGATTTCCTTTCAATATTTCCTTTAGTAAGAAAGTTGAAAAAGGTCCTGATACTAAAGAAGAAACGACAGAAATTAAAGAGGAAGTCGTCGTTAAAGAAAAAGCTACCGAGGAAGCTTCCAAGGAAGCTACCAATGCTGAAACCAGTGCTGAAACCAGTGCTGCTGCTATAACTGCGAACGGTGAAGAAATTCCTGAAGAAAATAAAGAAGAGAAAAAGAAAGGGTGGATTGAAAATTTCAACCCTTTCAAGAAAGCTGCCGGAAAAGAGGCTCAAAAAGAGGAGATTACAGAAAACGAAGAAACGAATACTGAACAAACCAAAACTGATACTGCTGATACTCCTACTGAAGAGGAAACTCGACAAAAAGAACACAAGGACGGTATCTTTAAGAATTTATTCAAAGGAAAAGCAAAGGACGAAACTCATCATGAAACCAAAGCTGAAACTACTGAAGGTGATAATTTTTTTAAAAAAATTCCCAGAGTCCGTTTAATGTGTTGTTTACTTACACAATAAAAAATTTATATTCTTATAAAACTTTAGTTGTCAATGAAGCTTCTGTTGAGGATGCTACCATTGAAGCAAAAGGCGAAGGAAAAACAGTAACAGAAGAGAAATCCGTAGAACCTTCCACAGAAAAACAAGAGGATCATACAAGAACCATACTAGGTGTTAAATTACCATTTGGTGCTAAAAGTAAACATACTTCTGACGAAAAACCCGAAAAATCTGAAGATAAAGTTGAAAGTAAATCTGATGAAATCGTAGAACCAAAAGAACCAGCGAATACGGAAGCTAAGGAGGATGACAAAAAAGATGACAAAAAGGAAAAGAAGGAAAAATCAAAGAAAGAAAAGAAGAAAAAAGATAATGAACACGAGAAAGAAAAGAAAGAAGGTGACGATTCATCGTCGGCAGAATCGTCGGACGGTTCTTCCGGTGGAGTTGTTCGCAGAGTCACCAAAATCTGGAGAAGAAATAAATCACACAAGACTGATTCATCTCATCGGGAAGTCACGATTGAAGCATCAGAGGAAAGCGAAGAAAAAAAGGAAGTCGAAACTTCCGACGCAAAATCCACCGAAAAGGTCGAAAAGGCTCCAGTACAAACTTCCGAACAAACAATACCAGAAAGCTCTAACGAATCTACAGAAGAAAAGGTTAAAAAGGATGAAGAGAAAAAGAAAGAAAAGTCTTCGATATTCGAAAATTTTAGGAGGTTAATGTTTACATTATTTTTTTGTTATACGTTTTAAAAAAAATTATAATAATATTCATGTTATTTTGATTTTGGATATTTAGAATAAGTAGTGGTATCGGTAAACGACAAAATTCTTTACCACAAGATTCTACGCATGAAAAGGTTGAATCAACAAATGCAGCTGCTGTTGCATCAGCTTCGGAAGCAACTGATGTCGAAAATGCTGATAAAACAGCAAAAATTGTAGAGGAAGAATTAGATCAACAACTCACGTTTATTGACGGACCAAAAAAAGGAAACCTTTATAAACAAACTCAATTTCTCAAAAATCTCGAAATCCGCTACTTTGTACTCTCTAAAGATAAACAATTAATCTACTATCGATCTGATAAAGATCCATCAGGTTCAAAAACGATTGAACTCTCTGATAGTAAAGTTGGAGTAAAGGTACTTGAAGGAAAACCTCATTACTTGTTTGACCTCGAGACGAAAACAAGAACATTCAGGTTAGGTGCTGAAACTGAAGAAGAACGTGATTCATGGATCCAAGCGCTCAAAGAGGCCGGTGTTGCCCTTGTACCTGCACCTGCTGAAAAGGAACCAACATCCAGTAAAAAAACCGAAGAAGTTTCCACAAGACTCGAAGTTACCAAGAGTGAAACTAATCTTCAAGAAGAAATTGATGCCGTTGCTGCGTCAGTAGCTGAAACCCAAGAGCCAACGACGACATCCGATATTGTTGTAGAAACTAAAGAAGAGAAAGAAACTACTGCATAGAGAAATTTAATCGTAATAATTCATAAATGATGATTCTTTTTTATTAATTAATGTCTGAATTTTCATTATTATCATGTCTAACTTCACTTTAAATCGAAAATATTAAATGATTCCCTTACCTATCTACACATGCATGTTTTTAACACTTAATACGCGAGCATTATAAATAACATATTTCACAAAATTACAAAATATCATTATTATTATTATTATTTATTATTATTATTATTATATAAAAAAAATATTTATTTTACATAATTCTCGTGTTGAAGGTGAAAAGTAAAATAGTCTTTGGAGCTATTAATTCATTAATTATTTTGCATTTTATCCTTGGTTTTTTAAATTAAAACAAAAGTTTTAACGTTTTATTATTATGTGAATTTCGTTTTAAAAACACATTTTATTTTTAGATTGATTTTAATTTAATTGTTATTCTTATTTATAATTATAAATATATAATTTAAAAATTTTTATATTAAATAAACAAATTATTAGTATTTGAAAATATTAATATTTAATATTTTAAAACAAAAAAATTTTTTATAAAATTCAATATTATTTACTTAATTTTAATTATTTAAAAATAAGAAATAGAATTTTTTGTTTATAATATAAATATCAAATGCTAAATATTATTAATTAATAAAAGAAAAATTACTAAATATTTATATTATAATTTAATTAATATAATTTCTGTATTTTTTTAGCATAAGATATTATTTATACTAATAATTAATATTATTAATAAGTTAGAAAAATTACTTTAATTACAAATATAATTACTTTTTATTATTATTATATCTAAATATAAAGTTTAATTTTACTAATAGTTATAGAGATCTAATAAAATTAGACCTTAAACTTAAAAATTAAATCTTAATTAATATTAACTTGATCAAATAATATAGTAATATAATCTATTATTATTATAATTCTAATAATATTATTCATTTAAATTATTTAATCTTCTTATTATTGATTCATAATTTTATATACATAAAAATTGATTTAGTATATTGAGATAATTCTTATTAATAGTTAATATAATAAGCTTTTTATTTTATCTTAAAATAGTTTTTGGTATTTTATTAGTTTATCAACAACAAATTTAACGGTTATTATGAAACTTCAATTAAATTTATGTTTGTTATTAGTTTATTCATTTATGAAGAATATTTTAATTTAAAAAGTTTTTAAAGTAATTCTTTTTTCTTTTTAATAGTAAATCGCAATTTAAAAATATATTTTGTTTTGTAATTTTTGTTTTTCGCGAGTTTTGTTGATAAACTATGAATTGTTTAATCAATTTTTTATTATTATTCTGTAATTTTTTATTGTATAAATATTGCTTCTTTTTTGTAAATTGTATTTTTAATAAATTCTATTTTTTTTTTGCAAGAATTGTAATAAAATCTACTTTAAGATAAACCATTATTTGTAATAGACTGTGAATTGTGATTCAGGTAATTCTTTCATCAAATTTTTTATATTTTGATTTTATTTCTATTAATATATTCAAGAACTTTTAAAAGATCTTTATTGAATTTATCAATTAAGTTAATTAAAGTATGCTTATGTTTATTTTGGGCATTTCTCGTGTTTTTTTTTTAATTAATAATATCGTCCTTTTTTTCGAGGCATTGTTAAATTTAAAATTTTGCTTTGTTACATATTTGATCTAAAAATTTCGAAAAAAAAATATAAATTAATGACCGTCAAGTGTATTACTATGTTGTAAATTAACCAAGAAAACTTGTGGTTATATCAAGGGTTTTGCTGTCCCCAATGCAAAACGAATCTTGACAGAGGTATCAAATGGTGTTCGCAATATTCTTCAATACCTTACGAAAAAAGAGTTAGCTTCCTTACAGGACTTGTTATTGCATAAATTTAGACTTTACTTAATGTGAAGTAATGATAGGTTTTAATATAGACGTTGACTTAATAATATGGAATTAAATAATTCCTTTTGTTAGAATGATATCATAAAACAGAATCCCTCGTTGAATTCAAAAAGGTATTAAAATGGAAAAGCGTACTCTTTCTTTCTTAAAAGATTTATAATAATTGTTATAATATAATTAATTACATTTCAAGTAAATAAAGTAATAAATAAATTTCCTGAATTTCTTAGCATAATCATTCCGGTTTTTCTTCAGATGGTTGATTTTCTTCTTGTTGCTGTCCTTCGCTGGCTGTCATACGATGCCAAACATATTCTTGAGCTATTATTTGAACGGCTAATTTTATAGCAGAAACCATTTTTGCTTCTACCCATTCATTTTCTTCATATGGAATATCTATCCAACTTGCAGGCAATGCTTGGGAAACAGTCTTGAAGTTTAGATTATGAGTTGGATCAGTAAGAACGATAACGTAATATAGATAATTTTCGGGGTCTATTGTGATTTCGTTATTTGTTGGTAAAGAGTAAGGGTTTGCTTTTGTGGGTTGAATTGCCATGAAAACGGGACATGTTGTAGATGGAATATCTCTTAACAACTCTTTTTGATCTTGTTCTTTGATCTTTTCGCTTATTGAGGGAGGTGGTTTATAATGTTTCTTGATAATTTGTTCAATATTAGCCTAATAATAATAATAATATATTAGCTATAATTAATCTTAAAGATACTAGAATAATAAAATAGTTTTTCACCTTTGCAATTCCTACAGCTTCAATAAAACCTTCACAAATATTTAAATCCCTACATGAGTCATCTTCTGAATCGCGCCTTATCGATTCATTTGCTTTTCGTACTACAATATCTCCACCCTCAACTTGTTCCATTACTTTCATAAACGACCTATATACAATAGATTCTATTCCCACATAACCTACCATATCATGTGTTAACCATACTTCTACTATTTCATATTGTGAAATTGGAGGAACTACAGCATTAACAACAGTTGTAAGAGTATTTAAACCTAGAGTTCTTAGGTCATATCCTTTTTTTTTTTTTTAAAAAAAAAAAAGAAAATAATTATCAATGATTATTGATTATTATACGTCTAGTTATACAAGATTTATATTAAAAAAAAAAAAAATTAATTAATTAATTAACCTATTTTTCCAATTGCTTCTTTGTTTAGAATTCCACGAAATCTTTCTTCAATTTTTTTAGTTCCTTCATTTGTACGTACAGTTTCAACTGTAGCCAATGCCCCTTTAACAGAGGTATCAACGACAGTACTCGCAGTCTTGTAAGCTGTAGAAGCCGATGCCATGAAACCACCCCAAGACCAAGTCCCACTCTGCTTTATGTCTTGATTCGCATCTGATAATTGTGATGGTTGTGTTGATGGTTCAGGCCGTTCTGCCGAATGTTCTTGACTTATTGAAACATTACTTTGGCTATCTCCTTTTGAATTATTATTCTGATGTTTTGAAAACTGGTCAATAAAATCAAGAACTGACTGGGTATCAGTAACTTGACCTTCTGTTGTTGGATTAGAAGCATCTGTAGTTTGTGAGTATGTGTCTAATGTTTCAAGAAACTGAAGAACATCTTCTCCAGCATTTGATGTCGGTTTAGACTCTGTCATTTTATCAAACCTCTACGTCCTTAAAAAATGAGTAATTATTTTTAAAGACGGGCACAAAATTTTCTGGATTATAATTGGCTATGGAATTTTATAATTTTTGATGCGGGTAACTTGTAGATATTCACAATCGGGCCTTGCATGAATTTGCTTAATCGTATTTTTTTGGAAACGGATACTAAAAATTAGACTTTATTACTTTTAACTGCTATTAAATCTTATGTTGTTGACGAGTTTAGTCTTTAACAAGGGAGTACGATATGATTTGAACTTCACAGCAATATTCCCTAATCATAATTTGAAATATCATTGCAATATGTTAGGGATGGGGACGGTTCAAAAAGAGCGACTCAGAGTCGGTTCTGGAACTGATTCTAAATTCAGCATATTCTGAATTTACGTGAGTTACAAACAATTTTTATCAATTTTAAAAATCGATTCAAAGAGTCAGGTATCGTCATCATAGTTTTGTTCAAATTAATTGAACATCACATGCTCTATTTGTATAAATTTAACCTAAATATGGTGCGATTACTATCAAAGAACGGGTATTTGATTAACTGAGGTCCTGATTTTTTTTTTTAATCTCTATAATATTTATAACATTAGAGAAAAATACATTCTTTATTAATATAAGTATTTGACATTTTCCACCTTTTTATTTTAATTTACTTTCGATACATTTTTCGTTATATCTTTCGTTACATCTTCATTATATCGTATATTTTATTATGCAAAATTCTCGCTTTAAAGTAACAGATCAACAAGATACTCTAGCTTCAAACTAAATATCAAATCAATTTATATTTTTTGCTTGCAAGTATTTCTATGATAGAAACATTTGGTAAAATATTCTTTTTTTTTCTAAATTTTCAAAACTAAATACTATACATTTTATGATTTAATTTTTTATTTTTTAAAACTTCTCCTCCACACCTTTAAGTAAGTATTAATCCTTATGTCTAAGCTAAAATGTAATTGTGAATTAGATTAGAGAGAAACACATCATCGCCAGAAAATTTTTTCACCCCACGTGACCTATAATTTTGGCCTAAATTAGCCCCCGAAATTATCGACTTTATCAATGATTTACAATCACGATCATGCGTTTTACAGTACCAATAAACAATAAACATTTGTCTTTAGCATATAAGCATATTGAGATATTTTTTTTTTATTTTTCGTTTTAATCGTTTCTTTTTCGTTTTTTTTTTCTTTGCTATTAAATCTTAAACACGCCTGTCAAGACTCAAGAGGTACGGTAATTAAAAGAAAAAGAAACTTATAATATGCTCATTATTAAAAGAAGTAAACTTAAACAAAGAAAATAACATTTTTTTTTGTGTAATAGACTATTACCGTATTCATCGTTGCTTAAAGAAAGAAAACAAAATAATTGTTACTAATGTAATATGCTTATTTATTTAAAAATTACTTTAAAAATCAAATTTAGTATATTTTTGATTAAGTTGTTACACATTTTAAAAGCGTTATTCAAATTTTTTTATATATTTTCTTAGATTATAATGATGAATTCAACGCCCTTATATCTAATGATAATATAATAATGTGCAGAGGGTGCGAAAAAAATCTCCCTTCTAACTCATTTATTGCCGTTAATGGAAAATCTTATCGTACATGTAATACCTGTCGCACCCAAAATAAGGCAGTTTATCAATGAAAATTAATTTCTAAACAGGAAAATGATGCAGATAATGATCAAGTAGTAGTGGATTTTCACGATTTTTATGACTTTTTTGCGCATAATTATAACTTGTTTGAATGTGCAATCCACGATAAAGATGAACAAGAGAATAGCGAAAATTTAGAATTTAAAGTTTCGTGTATTGTGAATGTTAATATTTTAGAAGGAAACCCCAAGGATCAAGTTTACCGTATTATAGAAATAATTTCTGATATTGATGAATATACTTGGATGTAATGATTTGATTTAAACTTTTTTATTTTATTTAGTTTCTTATTTTAATTATAATTAATTTTAAAGATATCACGAAGTATATAATGCAAAAAAAACCTAAAGCAACAACGTATTATTACTATTGTTCTCAAAGAGGTTGTCTAGGTGAAAAACAAAGAAAAATCTGATATTAATAAGCATCGTAATAGGCAATCAATGCGCTGTTAACCCTACGCTCAACCGTCGAACTTAGGGCAACTATGACTTAATAACAGGGAGTAACGTGCGAGAAACTAC